AATCAATAGTTTGCCAGGTGAAATTATTTTTGATAACGCTGCTCTTGTTAATGTTTCTACAACCAAATTCTTGGGAGTGTTTATTGATGAAAAATTATCATGGAAAACTCACATCGATAATATATGCAAAACCATTTCACGAAACATCGGTATTATCAATAAACTCAAATACTTTCTTCCTTCTCGAACTCTTCTTACATTATATCATACCTTAATATTACCATACATTAATTATGGGATTATAGCATGGGGATGTGCAATACAAACACAATTAAATAGGATCCTACTGCTGCAGAAAAAAGCACTCAGGATAATATTTCAAACACAATTCAGATCTCATACAGATATTTTATTTTTCGAAAATAATATTCTCAAAGTGAAAGATATCTATGTGTTCCAACTCGGCCAATTTATGTTCAAACTAAGTAAAGACGACCTCCCCGCAATTTTTTCTGATATGTTCTGCAAAAATGCCTCTGTACACAATTACCCGACTAGACAACGGAACTGTTATCACTTACCCTTAACACGAACATTATTTGCACAGAATTCATTTGTCTTCGCTGGATGTGCCTATTGGAATTCTCTTCCCAACGATATAAAAGAAGCCCCTAGTCTTAGCAATTTTAAACGTAAACTTAGGAAAACATTAATCAGCCAATACTCCCCACCAACAAGCCAAGCTCAAAAATCTAAACCTACGGAAAGATAAAACAAATCTTTCCTTTTGTTATTCCTCCTTTCCTCCTTTTTTGTTTCTTTTTTAAGAATAATCTAAACAAGCCTAACGACCTGGTGGTGTACCTGCCTCCTGTCCCCATCTCCTTCTTCCTGCCTTTCTCTCGCTCTCTATTTCTCTCTTGCTCTCTCCCCTTTCTCTCTCTCTCTCTCTCTGTTACTATATTTATCTTACTTTTATTTTTACTTTTACTTTTTCTTTTTTTTTTGTATTCCCTTTTAGTGTGTTTTACTGGTATTAGCTTTCGACCATAATTATTTAAGCGTATCCATGTAACTAAGTCAGGGGCTTGCCTCATACAAGCTCTGCTTTTTTAGCAAGCCCCTCCGTTTTGAATTACTTCATCAAGGTCATTTTTTTTTCTATTGTTCAGTACTGTTTTTTCCCAATATTTCTTATCAACTAAATTTTGTTCTACATAATACTGAATTTACTTTGTTTATATTATATTTGACTGTATTATATTATGTCTGTTTATATTTTGTTTGTTTTGAAACGGTAATAAAATCTGAATCTGAATCTGAATCTGAATGAAATATTGCTTCAGACCACGATTTACGTCATTAACAAACAAATATAGTGACCTGCCACTGTCCCGAATAAGAAATAAAAATGTGCTCATCTGACCGTAATTTAATGCCTAAATAACCTGAGCATTAGGGGGCTGAGAGCTCTGCCTCCTGGACCCAACCAGGGATTTGCCCCTGGACCCCACAATAATCAACGTTCGCTGCGCTCTACCTGTTCGTAAATACTTTAGCCCCCAATTTTGAAGAAAAAAACGTTGCACAGGGCATACTTGTTGCGGTGACTACAGGGCGCCTTGGAAGAAGTGGATGCCAAAGGCTTCCCCACAAGAAGACTTGTTTCTCATTACAGCAAGGCATTCGTCAATTCTCACTAGCTTTGTTAATAACTGTTTTGAAACACCGGGAGGGGTTGAGAGAGGGGGGAGAGAGAGAGAGAGAGAGAGATAGAGAGAGAGAGAAGGGGGGGGGGGGAGAGAGAGAGAGAGAGTGAGAGAGAGAGAGATAGTGGAATAGAGAGAGAGAGAGAGAGAGATAGAGTGAGAGAGAGCGAGATATTGAGTAGTATATTTGTAAAGCGCTTAGAGACATTTGTATTAAGCACTATATAAAAATTAAATATTATTATTATACATTGTCGCTCATAAAGGTGGAATATTCTTTTTTTATTCCAATTTATGGAAAAAAAATTAAAATAATTTAAAAATAATAGATCTAGATAATAGTATACATTCTCAGATTTTATTGAATGATAATTTGCCAATGTGTGTTTTGTGTGACTGCTAAAGCATGTGTATGCTATTATGCTTATCAACTAGGGGACCTATGCCATTAAGTCATAAATGACAGTAATGAGGATTAATGCCCCACAAAAGGGCACTAATATAGCATATCGACATGGTTTTGATCCTGGGGCCTCACAGTTACGAGGCCATTGCTTTGTCACTGAATCATGACTGTACGCAGCGGGGGCTAGGGTAGGGGGCAGTTTCCATAAATAAAAAAAAAACACAAAAAATGCAATACATTTTCAATAATTTATTGCATTTAACCCCAGTGCCTAACATTAAACAAAATTATGTGTGCCCATGCCTTGAGCCATAATGCATGGCTGTCGATAGGATTTTTTTTATGTTAGGGACAGGGGTAAAATGCAATAAATTATTGAAAATTTATTGCATTTTCTGTGTGTTTTTTTAATTATGGAAACTGCCCCCTACCCTAGCCCCCGCTGCGTACAGTCATGGTTCAGTGACAAAACAATGGCCTCGTAACTGTGAGGCCCCAGGATCAAAACCGTGTCGATGTGCTATATTAGTGCCCTTTTGTGGGGCATTAATCCTCATTACTGTCATTTATGACTTGAGAGCGTAGGTCCCCTAGTTAATAAGCATATTAGCATACACATGCTTTAGCAGTTCCGCAAAACACACATTGGCAAGTTATTATTCAATAAAATCTGAGAATGTATACTATTATCTATATCTACTATTTTTAAATAATTTTTAAAATAATTCCATAAATTGAGGTAAAACTAAAATATTCCACCGTTATGAGCGACAGTGTATATATATATATATATATATATATATATATTCAAAATACTGTACATCATGCTATGTTTATAATGTTGTATCCTATTAGTGTATGATAATATATAATATGCCACGCCCACTATTGGGGAATTCCAAACTCATCTGTCCAATCAGAGCCCGCGCTCTGTAATCATCGACCAATCAGAAGTTTGTAACATCTCTAAGGGGTGGCGTCATAGAATAGTTTACAATCCAGTATTTTTCCAGCTTGGATTGAAGGAAATAGTTTTTCTCAATCACTCAATCAATCAACCTTTCAATCATTTAATCAATCAATATTTCAGTCAAACAATAACAACACAAACTAATCAACCATTTAGATCAGGCCTTCTTAACTGGCGGCGCGCGCGCCACTTGTGGCGCTTGCGGTCAGTCGGAGTGGCGCGCGATTGTTGCAACAAAACAAAAAACAAAAAGAAAGAAAGAAAATATATATTTTAGAATTAAATACCCAGCTAAATCAAGAAGTTGCAGTCGAATTTGAGCCCAAAATCCCTGCTTAACAAACAGGAAGAAAGGGGAATTTATTGTTTTTTACCATTTTATACGAATCTAAACCTAAGGTCTGAACAACAATTTACAATTTAGCTTACGATGGGATACCAATTTTAACATTGCCAATATCTGGAAACATCTTGTTTTTGTTTGTTTGATTTTCACTTTATTGCACGTGTTTATTGCACACAAAAAAACTACATATAAATATATCTCCAGTGTAATCGTACTCAGGAATTGTACTATTTTTTTCACATCATTATGAAATTATGATTGATTATATTGTGGAATGAAATGGTGTTAAAAGCCCTAAATCCACCAGCTTCAGGGGGCTCCGCCCCCTGCTACCCCCCCTTTAGGGCTTCGCCCTGGACCCCACCCATTTTCGGCTCGGTCGCTACGCTCCCTCGCAGCACAGTCAACCGTACAGGGTGGCACTTCAACTACAAATTCTTTTCGTTTTGGTACTTCTAATAAACTTGTTGAGAAGGCCTGATTTAGATGATCCGCATTGAGGCAATTCACACATTTTTTTAATGTACATCTCGAAATGATAATCAATAGGCTATAATATATTTTCTTTCATTCGAGGCTTTTTAATGTAGAATATTAGACAATTACAGAGACTCATTGACAGATGAAATTTAAAACAAATTAAGAGGGAGAAGAAATTGAAGGTATTTGATGCCTTACGGGCAACTAGAACGGACAAATGAAATAACAGATTATTATAAATTAACAATTTTCCTATTTTCCTATGGTTTTGTACATGATAACAAATACTTTTTAAATTTGCGGACATTTTATTAGAATTAAATCAAACCAGCAGGGTAAGGATGAAACAATTTGATTACTTACTGTACATTAAAGGTCATATTTTAATATTAAATAAAGGACCAATTAAACGTCATTACTACAATTACACAATAGCTGTAGGCCTTATCGTGTACATTTTACACGATTACGAATACATAAACTTTTTTTGCACATTGAAAGACATACTTTGATATTGGAAATTAAAGGGTATTTGGCCTCCGTGCCGTCATTTATAATGCCGCAATTGGTGCACTTTTCGAAATCACAACGTTCTAGAAAGAAAAACATCATGAAACGAAGGATAATAAGAAAGAAATTAAATTTTTCGGCGAGCAACATTGAAAGTAGAGCACTGCACAATAAATCATCATTATCATCATCATCATCATCATCATTACCTTTGCTATCATTTGGCCAATGAAAACCTGGGGAAACTTTGCAAATTTTTAATGGTTACTTGTATTCCTTTAAAATTCAGGGAAAATAATGAGTAGACTGGAGTTCCTTGAATAAAAATTACCTCCTTTAAATGCAATTTTTTATTAGCGTTAGACTTAGCCTACTCCGAGGCGTCAATCATATGAGGTTTTTTTTTATTAGGCGGCGAAGACCAGGCACGTGAGTGACATGCACCGTTAAATACAGCCAGCAACTGTAGATATATGATTTGTGGATGGCCAGGGCCTGGTCATTGAGGAGCTTGCTGCTCGGCCCGGCACCTTTCCACCCCACCAACACCAACTCCACCCATGCTTACGCTACTTATATGGTTACGGGCATGATAGGATAAAATTTGGAATCAAATAATAATACTTATATATGCTTTTCAAAATTTGAACAGCTAGCGATTCCTCCTTCAAATCTGTCTGTCACTACAATTACGTGGACCTCAATAAGTTGGCCTCGATCAACTAGATCTCCAGACCGGTCCCGAATGTCCAGTCTACTTCCTACGCCCGCCACCGCCTCCAGAGTTTTTGCCCTTGCTCCCCGTGGACGGTATCTTTGAGGCAGATGGGGCGTAAACCTTCGGCGTCGCAATTGAAGAGGGTGCGCGGCTGTCGGACCTGATTCCACTGGGGCTGTAGCCCAAGCTGTTGGCTCCAGCGCTCGCCTGTGATGCAGGCTGACTCGAAGACATATTATATCTGTACAAGTTGCAAAATTGTAGAAAGCTTGTCTTACATTCATAAAAGGATAATTAGGGAAAGTACGAAATTAATGTTGGCAAAGTGATGTAGACGTAACGTAGGGGCATACAGAGGAAACATTTTAAAGAGAAGGTTGATTTCTAGGAAATGTGAAAACATATATGTATAATGTTTATATTCTTTTTGATATGCTAGTGTGTAAGAGCGTCATAGAAAAAACATCCCTTCAAAGGATTACTTTTAAAATGCTCTCATATTTGGAATATGACAAGTAACAGCTATTGTGGACCATTATTTTTAAAAGTGCTAGGAGGGAGAGAGAAGGAATGGAGGACATGAGAGCATGTAGTAATGGGACGATTAGATAGGATGAGAAAGCAGGAGATGAAGCGATTAGAGAATGAGGTTGTAAGAGAAGGGCTCACTTCGAATCATCGGGTCATCACATCCGGTCGGGTCGTCACGTTTAATACACGACTTTGTGATACGAAAGCGGAAGATCACGCGATCTTTCGTAGATTTGCCGAAGGGTCGGATCCAATTTACAGGACACGTCTTTGTAGATGAGAGGGGTTTATTTCAAAAACATTATCCCCTTAAGTTCGTGAATAAAGGGGCACGTTTTCACAAAGGGTGGGTAACGCGATGACCCGATACTTCGAAGTAAGCTCCGGAGAAGAAGGGATGGGAAGGAGAGGTAGTGCGAACTGAGATATACATGTCTTTTATGCAAGAAAATACAATAAATACACTATTTTATGGCTATAAGGTTAAAAACTGCATTGTCATCATATACATTCAAACTGTGCTAAGGTCCCATTTGAACATTTATTTTGTGACAAAAATAATATGTCATTTATCTAACTCCAATATAGATTCATATTTTTTGGTAATAATCCTTACCTTTCCGGGATTTTTCATTTAATATCCCCTTTCAACATATTAGTAAGCTAAAAAATACCCTTGATTTATTTTTAAAAAATTGGTATAAATCTAAGAATCATTTTAGCGAGATTGTATCTAAATTCAAAATCACATCACAATACTTATTGAAATGAATTGAAAGTAAGCTCTAAAAAATGGTCTTTGGTGATAGGATTAAAAATTAGCATTATCAATGGGTTCGGTAGTTAGTGATTCTATGATTGCTCAGTCAATCAACAACAACAACAACAACAACAACAAAAAAAACAAAAAAAACACAATTTTTTCAAATTTATAATTGATAAAACTCAAATTTCTGGAGTAAAAATCTAAAAAAATAAGATTGATGAAAAAGTGTGTAATAAATGATGAATAAAAGATAAATGAAATTGCTTTAATAAATAGGATGGAAACGAATTATGGCTTTTTTCTAATAATAGACACTTCATACAGAGTATAAATTCAGTCATAAGCTACTGGAACCCCAAAGATAAGGCTATTCTATCACTTTCAATTTCATAGATCCTTTTTACCATTATTGAAAAGACCACCCCAATTTCGGAGAAATATGAAATATGAAATAAAACGAAAACTCTCTTCATAAGGGTTGTCTTATCTTCACGGGAAACAAGAAATGATTTTACTTTGCCTATATAGATAATTACAATGAAAATGAATACATAGATGTTCTCTTACCTGTGCAGACAATTTGCTCCAGATGATGCCAAAAGAAGTCTATCAAGACTACTATGTTTAAAATTGAAATAGAAATCGATGAACAAATGCATCTATAAAAGTGTTTCGCTCCTGCCGTATACCACGGCTTCCTCCCCCTCAAGTGAAGATATATTACTAATGATATCTTTATATAGGGCAGCAAGACGAAGTGCATTAATTACCCTACGCCCATGCACTTCCGGAAATCTTATTACCTCGTCTGTCCAATCAGAGCCCGCGTCTTTATTCCATCGACCAATCAGAAGTGTCCTTATAATGTACCCTCAGGGGCTTCAAATATTATTTCGCAATGGACTGTGATCTGGCCTTGGCAAGGTGTCTTTATTGCAACGATTTGTTACGTCAGTGACTGCAGTTGCAGCCGACTGCGACATCGTGACTTTAAAGAGAAGGTTGGGATCTGGTGAAGGGGGGGGGGGGATATCAAAATGTGAGCTTTCTCATTATTTCTACCTCAGTTTGGAAAAATTTATTAGAATATAGAAGGATCGCATATGCTTCCAATATGTTCATTTGAACCAAATTCATGACCCCATACCAAAACTTTGTATTACCTTTAATGATCCAACCATCCATTGATAATCTACATTAAACCACCATCAACAACAACAACAACACTGCAAAAACACGTATTTTACCGTACAACAATGAGAAATACTTTACATGAAGTTATATCAAAGCTCGTACATGCAATGAGTTTTATGTCTATGCTCTTAGGCAACATGCTCTTAGGTATAATAATGGGGTTACTTATAAGGCTTGTTATATATTATCCGTAGGGTAGCCAGATGCGGGATTTTTAGATTATTTTTTATCTGAGATAAAATCTGAGAAAAATAAAACATTTAATTTTAGTAAGCTAAAATACCCTTAATTTTCTTTTTCTAAATCGGTATTTTGAGAATTATTCTAGCGAGATCTTTTCTGGATTTTATCGTCCTTCAAATATTATTTCGCAATGGACTGTGATCTCGCATTGGCAAGATGTCTTTATTGCAACATTTTATTACGTCAGTGACTTCAGTTGCAGTCGATTGCGACAATGTGACTTTAAAGAGAAGGTTGGAATCTGGTGAAGAGGGAATCAAATTGTGAGCTTTCTCATTGTTGCTACCTCAGTTTGGAAGAGTGAATTAGAATAAAAGTCCCATTAAATATTGCCCCTTCTGATGCCCTCCTTGTTCGAAACATGATTTGAAACAGCTGAAAAGTTCGGACCATGCTTTAGATTCCCAATATTTTACCGGTACAAAGGGAGATAGGCTAACATTATTTACCAACTAGTCCTCTTTAATTTATGAGAAGAAATGATCCGCATTTCTATAACGTTCCTTGATTAGAATGCAAGACAAACAATTATGTTTATTCCATCGGCCAATCAAAAGTGTCCCTATATAATGTACCCCCAGGGGCTTCAAATATTATTGCGCAATGCACTGTGATCTCTCCTTCGGCAAGGTGTCTTTATTGCAACGTTTTGTTACGTCAATGACTGCAATTGCAGTCGATTGCGACATCGCAACTTTAAAGGGATAGATAGTTGAGTTCTTGTTTCAGACCGCAAATGTCTTCAAATTGCATGGTTATTGCTCTCATTTTTATTTATGACAGTTCTAGTGCCCTTTTAGGAGCTAAAATTACTATGAAGGTAATTTTAGACCAAATACAATAAAATACGATCATACCAATTCAGCTCATTTTAACAAAAATACGGTGACCGTTAATTAATTATTCAATTAATAGTAACAATACGTGGGCCGACTGGTTGTGAGTATTATAACCAACACGAAAAAGTCAACAAAAAAAGCCAACGTTGGCATTAGGTGGAATAAAACGTAAATCTCGTTTTTTAACGGATGGTTCAAAATTACCGAATATTTGTGGGTTATTATCATTTATTTCATGATTGTGATTATTTTGGATCAAGTTCTTAATTTTTCTTACAGAAAAGCAAAAGTATTGTTTGATAATGAAAAAAATGATTACAGTGGTATGATTTCAGGCAGGCAATGTGATATAAATTAAAAATATATAGTTTTTTAAAATGTATTTATCAGTCTATAGCTTCTTAAGTTTTAAATACATGTACACAAAAAAAAAAGAAAATGTAATTTTACAACATATTCGACATTTTGTTTAAAGAAATATTTTGGAGGGCATATGTTGAAAAGTATCACCTCTGGAGAAAAAAAATTATGTTAAAAAAACGTATAATTAATGTTTTGATAGAAGTATAATTGATGTATTTTTCTTTGTAATCATTATTCAATTAATAAATGATGAAAAAAAAAACGGAAAAGTGTTCCTGTACTAAACATGTTACATATAACATCAATATCAAGTGGATTCATGTCAAGACGATTCAAAGCACGTTACTTTGATATCGCAGCCATTGAAACGTATCAAAATAAACAATTCCTCATCACATGTATCGTATTGTTTAACGTCACCACTTCCATTCCTCCCTTGCATAAACATCTAGTGGTTTAAAGATTATTTGTTATAGACTGTGAATCGTTTAACGTTGCAAGAAATGTTCTATTAAATATTAAATATGCATTTAGTATTTTAGAGTGCTCGAGCCCCTCGCCACCTCAGGCCCTCGTTATTATTCGGGGGGGGGGGGGCTGCTTTAAAGTTTATTTCTAAATTATAAAGTATTTATCAATCATTATTACTACCCTGAATAATCATTGTAGCTACTATGTAATTTGGATGATAGAAAAATAATTTATAAAATAGTTTATGGGACTACGTAAAAATTTATTTTAAAAAATTGGGTCAATTAAAGTTCTAACCTGTTACATAGGAACATTAGAACTTCAGCAGTCCTTATTATGGGACACTACTACAAGCAAGTAAGCGACCGGCAAACGAACCAATCAACCAACCAATCGAAAATTCAATCTATCAACCCAACAACCAATCAATCAATCAATCCATTGCGAATATCAACCAACATACCAACAACAAAACTAATCGGAAATATAATATATCAAACGATTGATCAATCAAAAAAGAAATCATCCAACCAACAAACCAACCGATCATTCATTTAATCAATCAATCAATCAATCAAGGAATCAGTCAGTTAGTAAAGAACCCAACAACAACTAACTAATCAGTCGAAAAATTCAGTCTATAAAACAAACAACCAATCAATTACAAAATCAACCAACCAAGCAATCTTCCAATCTATATATCAGTCAGTCAGTCAATACAACAACCCAACCACCCAATTATCAATGACACGAAAAATCAATCAAGCTACCTACCAATCAATCAAATCAATCAGTCAATCAATCAATCAATCAAAAATAAATTAGGTTTAAAGAAAATAAAACAGACATTCATTCAATTTTTTTCGAGGCATTTTTTAGTCGCACTTCACATGTTTACAAATTCGTTGTATCATGGTATTGGAGTTCCAGCTCCTTAAATTACTTTAGAATTTTTGAGAAACAAATTATCACAAGTACAATTCGCCTTTGTATCCGATATAATATGCATTGATACCCACGTCTTACAATTTCATGAATATACACTCTTCAAAAGAATCAAAGTAATGTTAGTTTATTTATTTACTACCAACAGCCCTTTCAACAGAAGTTGACTTTGATCCACAGGGATTCCAAATTATCTTTCCCTCAAGAGGGATTCCAAATTATTTTCCCCTCAACAGGGATTCCAAATTATTTACCCCTCAACAGGGATTCCAAATTATTTTTCCCTCCACAGGGATTCCAAATTATCTTTCCCTGCACAGGGATTCCAAATTATCTTTCCCTCCACAGGGATTTGAAAATCTTGTCCCCTCTCATGGATTCCAAAATCTTTTTCCCTCTATAGGTATTCCAAAATATGTATCCTCCAACAGGGATTCCAAATTATTTTTCCCTCAACAGGGATTTCAAACTATTTTTCCCTCAACAAAATTTAAACATGAAATATAAATCTGAAATGTTACTTTAAAACAATAGCTTAAGTAACAAATTGTAGACATCTTGCTGGCGATTCCCCCTTCCTTCCGTCTGACCGTCTGTCCGTCTGTCCGTCGCTCATTAGCTACATATTGGCCTCGATCAACTCCATAGCTAGATCTCCGGACCGGTGCATGTAGAAGGTTTAGCCATAGCGGGTCTACTCCTCGTTTGGTGACATATTGTATCTGTCAAACAATTGGAGGGAAAATTGTCGTGATATTTTTGTTTATAAAAATTACACAGAGATTAGTTAGTTATCATGTGGTGCATATACAAGAATACGTTTGAAATCAAACAATAAGGGAGGTTTACACCTACAGAAAAAGTGAGATTTAAAAATAAAAAAAAAAATAAAAAATTGAAAATCATTTTTTTTTGCGTGTGTGGACAGAATAATTTCACTTATCTTCGCGATTCCAATTCGCAGTAAGCCTTTCGATTTGTTCAGAATAATCGCGATACTTTGTGTGAATGGTATTGAAATTCAGAAGTCGATTTATTTAATCCCAGGATTCCAAGCGCGCATATATCGTCGAGATTCACGCATGCGCAGCATTCGGACGTTCTTGTCGTCGAGCGAGTATTCTCCCTGTGTGTGAATGGTCACCCCCCCCCCAAAAAAAAAACAACAACAACAACATCAATCTTTGCATCGCGATCCAATTCGCACTAAATCGACATGTGTTAACGGTCGCAAACACGAAATAGACCTTTGCATTGCGATCCAAATCGCACTAAGTGTTATGTGTGAACGGGCCTAATACGTATATAATATTCTCAAAAATGCTCAGAACAGAAAACAGTGATGGATGCGAATCATGCTTGTTGCAGAGTACAATGATGTCCAAGGGTTCCCACAATAAGACTAGTTTTTCCCTGCATTTATCTTTTTATTCATATGTATTTTAATGTATATATAAATATATTAAACCCCCTTCCGCCAGTTTTCTCAGTCAGAAATTGTTCGGCATTGTTTTGTAATTAACTAATCCTGTATCCGCCCCCGTATTACATTATGAGCAAGAAAATGTACTCTTACCTGTGCAGACAACCTGTTTCAGATGATGCCGAATGAAATCTATCAAGACTTCTGTTTTTCAAAATGAATTTGTTGGCT